TGGCTGCAGCACAGCCTGTTCAACAGCAGTGCAGAGGGGGCAGATGGCACACTTGTGCTGACAGCACACTCCTGTGCAGCCCAGCAGTGCAGAGGGGGCAGATGGCACACTTGTGCTGACAGCACACTCCTGTGCAGCCTCCAGAGGGTTTCCTGTCCTAGACTGCAGTTTCCCAGCTCCTCAGCCCTTACCAGGCTGGCTGGTCACTGCACACACATGGCCCACTTCCCAAAATCTGCAGTCCTGCCCGAGATGACTGCTGAGTAAATGCCCCCTTAAAGCTGTATCTGCTGAAGGAGTAAGTGCTATAAAAAGAAATGGGACAGTTCTGGGACCCCAGGACCCCCCAGCACTGTCTGGGTGCTGCCTTCCTCTGCTGCATGAGCAGTGCACTCTGCTGTCCACAGCCCACGCTGCAGAGCCCAGCAGTTTGCCAGGAGAGCACACTCCCTGTTTTTAACAGCACCACCAAACTCATAAGTTTAGGTTAGCTTTCTGTTAATCTGAAAAGCAGCAATCTGTAGACTGGGATGAAGGGAAAATAATAATGACTAAATTCTAGCACTCTCAGGCCACACAGGTGAGCATCAGGTTTGGTGTGGTGTCACCAAGGTTCCCTTGTTTTGCAGCCTTGCACTGTATATTCAGATAAACTTGTTTGCAGTTAGTGGGATATCCCAGATCCTCCCCTTTTGCTCTGGAAAAGCAGGAAGGGGTCCAGCAGCATTCCATACCCTACACACACCACCTGGCAGATGAGGAGACTTTTCCACATACATTGGAAGGGAGATGGAAAAGGGGAGACAGACTTGCATTCCTATTTCACCTGGGATTTCAGGTTTCTCCCTTCCCAGACAAGCCAGAGAACTTCCACATCCTTGGTCTCTTTCCCCTACTTTGGTTGCTGTTCATGGTGTAGATGATGAATTTCACACAGAATCTCATGGTGTGTCAGGGTTAGGCATTCTCTGTTTACCTTTGAGGGTGTCTGTCCCAAGGTATGATTCAGCCACACGATTGCACAAGTGTACTGCTCTGCACCTGCATTCTCCTGGGATTATTCCTACCTCTCAGGTGTTACAGATGGAACTTCAGCACCTTACTCCTGTCCTAGATTGCAGTTTTCAGGCCTATAGGCTTAAATGGCTCCTTGGATTAGCTTTCAGTTACCACCCTGGTCATACCAGAGTTGAACAAGCCTTTGTTATTCAGCCAACGTGGAGAAAAGGGAAAGATATTTTTAATGTACAGACAGAGGCACACCAGAGTCCCCATCCTGGGTAGTCCCCAGTCCCCACTGACCAACCTTTTCCATAGCAACAGAAGTTAGGTTGAAACCTACTGTTGTGAGGCCTGGACACAGCTGGACCTGCTGCTCCTTGCTGGGAAACAAGAATATCCTTCAGGCCCACTTCACATCCTCCTTGTACAACACAAACACAAGTGATAAAAGAACTGATCACCATGAGCTGTAGGAAGCAATGCTCTGGACTGCATCAAATCCCTCCCTGCTCATGCACTAAAAAGGGATCCCACAAGGAGAATCCTGGAATCACCTTAGGAAACAGACCAGTGTTCAGCTCAAATGGTCACAACATGCTGGAAGTGGGGCCTCCAACTTGACCAGATCTCTCAGCAAACTTTTTTCATAAAAAACAACCAGACCTTCCATTCTGAATGAAAGCCACTGGCTAGGGTCAAATCTGTTCCCCCGATCCAGCCCCTGCCTCTGTCAAAAGCAGGAGGCAGGTTGCAGGAGATGGGTTTGGGAATCAAGAGATGACTCAGTATGAGTTAGCAACTTGTTCCATTTCATCGCAGTTTCAGCTGCATTTTTATAGTATTTTGGAAAGGTAACATGCAATATTTTATTATGATTGGATAATTGCTGTTTTTCGTGCATTAACTTCTACACTTCTATTGGTCCAGCTCATAACACCCGAGCTCTACCAGATACTTTTTAGTGGAACTTATAAGATACATTAAGCAGTTATATAAGATACATTCTGCAGAATTCACATCCTGACAAACTTCACAAGATACATTTTGCAGATTTCTCATCCTAAATTCTCATCCATTCTTCATTGTCTTTTTAACACTTAGTCTTCTTCATATCTTTGGCACAATATTGTGCCAAGGACTCATGCTGACTCAAAGTCAGGGTTGTGCAGGCCTTCCAAGGAGCTATGGCCTCGAGAAGCAAGCCATTCTTCAACAGCAGGTGAACAATCATCTGCTGACATAAAAGAATATTGGATATTATCTTCCCATTAGCAATCTTATTGTTTTTGCTTTTCTGAATCACTCCCCTCTTGACAGGCAACAGAGAGCATGACCTGCACAGCTGAGCTTGCCTGAGACAGAGGAGTTCAATCCCACAAAATTGGAATAGTGCACCTTTCACTCCTCAGTCACTTTTTAACAAGGTTACCTACTGTATGCACAGTGCAGCCCTCACTTGTAACAGCCCATGGGATTCAGGCTTTTCATGCAGACTAAACCTCCACTGCTCACTCAGAAGGCAGGCAGGTGGAAGGGGGACATATTCTGGCTACTTGACAACCCAACCCTTTGGCCTCAATGTGCCACAGCTTTCCATTTGGAAAGGCTCTCCTTGTTCCCCATGCTGCACTCACACTAAATGTGCATAAAAACCTTCTCACACTGCTCGGTGCCCTGCTAACCTTGGCATTCTGTCAGCTTTTCCCACCTTCCTGAAAAAGCAAGGGAAAGGCCTGGCCACATGGATAGTTGTGTGACAATTCCTTCTCCCATGTTTCAGTAGGACAAATGGAGTCCTAAGGAAAAGCACAGGGTGATGATGTTACTCTGCCTTGTTCTGTAAGGCAGTGATGTTATTCTTTGACATTCTCTAACGCATTATGGAATTTTTCGTAAGTTTAGAGGTAAATCATCAGGTGAGAACAGTTACCCATTGCCAAATTAACCCTGGCTACAGGGAACAAGCCAAACAGAGGGTCTGCCAGTGACAGCTGTGGAAGGAAAGTCAAGGCTTGGGACAGTAGGTTTATAGGTAGGAAACCTTGGGAAAGCAGCTGAGAATTATTCATGTATGAAGTATTTCTGGCCAGAGTAAAGAGAGTCACAGTGCCTTAGCAGCAAACATCTGTTTGACTTACTGGTGCAAACCTATGATTTTGACAAGGGCAGTGGAAAGGGCAGGACTGACCCAGGAGCAACACAGAGGTGTGGAATTCTCATGCAGAGACAACCCCTAAAGCCCAGTGAAGGTAAAAAGCTACAGGACCTCACCTTGAAAGGCATCCAAAGCACACAACCCTCCTCCTTTCACAGCCTGAGAGGTTGCCTGAATTTCACAAAACATTACATAAAAGAATCTTATTACTCTCCATTAGGCTTTTAATTCTTACACTTTTATAACAGGAAACTTTGCAGGACAAGGGGAGTTACTAAATACATCCTCCTCTTCAAGTTTTGGGTTTTTTTATATACTGAGCATTATGCCCTAAGGTGTGGACTATCCCCTTGGTCAGTTTGGGTCACCTGTCACAGCTGTGTCTCCTCCCACCCTCCCAGGCATCCCCAGCTTCCTCCCCAGCCTGGCAGTACAAAAATCAGAAAAGGCCTTGGCTCTGTGCAAGCCTGCTCAGCAATAACAAAAACATCTCTGTGTTATCAACCCTGTGCTCAGCACAAATCCAAAACACAGCCCCATACCAGTCACTGTGAAGAAAACTAACTCTACTCCAGCTGAAGCCAGCAGGGCTATTTAATAATTTCAGCCTGAAAACCTGAAAGCCAGAGAACTAAATGACTCGTGTGCATGTGAAAGGGGAAAATGTGAAAACCCTACTGGCCAAAATTATCTTGAAAGAATTCCAGATTATGCTGAAATGCATGATGACAGTTCATCCTTTCACAGGAGAGACAAGGAAATACTGTGGAGAACTGGCAACTGCTCCCAGCCCTGTGCAGTATTTCTGTGCCAACAACTGCATGAGAAGTAATTAAGCAACATTCACAAAACAACACAAGCTGGAATATTATCTCTAGCATCTTTGTTTTCTAAAATACTTACTCACTGTTAATATGTTGATCTATATCTTGTCATTTTAAGTGCTCTGTGCAGAATCACATCTGCGATCTCGCAGTAAAACTTCATAAGTCACATTCAACTGTTCATTACTGCTTTTTTAATTGTCTCAGCATGGTCAGTCAGGAACATGTTTAGTTTTAGCTCATCTTCTCACCATCAGTCAAGAGTTGGTAGGATTTCTCATTTTAAGACTGAGGTGGCATGAAGCATGTCAAGTCATTGAAAAATCTGTGTTGTTTTAGAGACAGAATACCAAGATACGTGGTAGCAAAGCATGTGCATAATATATCAAGTCCAAAATTAAGACTTCTGAAGGGGAAAAATGGTCATTGCCTATTTCTCAAACTGTGAATGGTCACAAACTGGTATTATGTATCATATTTCTGTAATTTCAAATGGCTACAGTCAAGTGTCAAGAGCACAAGCAATAAATGCAGCATTTTCTCAGCCCTTTTCCAAATCTGCTCACTGTGGATGTTGCAGTTTCATCCCCACTGAAAGTGATCTTGGTGAGGCTGCTGGGAAGGATATCCAGAGGCCCCAGTCTGATCTCATGACTCACCCAAACAGCCTCACTCTCTTCAGTGAGTCTCGTGCTTGTGCAGACTCTGGGATCATTCATGGAGGAGCTCACCGTAAACAGAAATGTCACTGGCATAATTTTATTTAAAAGACAAAATCCTAATGCTCATCTGAGCAATCAGACAGTATTTTTTTCATTAGAACTTGCTATAAACTTGCTGACAATTTAGACTTCAGTAATGGTCCCTCCTACCATGTGAGAAATGATGCTGTCTGGGACTTCACAGGCAGCTCCATCAGATGGATTTCACACTGTATCTTTCAGGAAATTGATCTCTAATAAGAGAAAGCCACAATTCCTCCTGTGAATATTTTCTACAGTAAACTCTGCAGACAATCATGAGATAAAAAGTACATTTTCACTTTTATTGTCAATTAATCTGGCCAAAATATTCATTATAGAATTACAAAGTATTTCTGTACAAAATCTGTAGATGTGTCTCACAGAGATCAACATTACACATTCCCTCAAGAACAAAAACCCCAAATCCAGTTTCTTTTGCAATCATAACCAATTTTTAACTTATTTATCTAAGAATGAAGTGCTTCCACAGGTCATAACAGATGTAAATGATCTTGGGTTTTATCCATCGATGACAAAAATCACGTTTATGGGAATCGCATCACTGAATTTTCAATAACCCCGCTTCTGTTTTTCTTCTTTATCAAGAATAGCCTGTTTTAGACTCAATGCAGCATCTTCAAACTGGGGGTTTAACTCTAATACTTTCCTGAAATCTTTTATGGCCTCATCAAAGTCTCCTGTCACAAAAAAAGAAAAAAAGGAAAAGTAAAATTATCTTTAAGTGCTCATGCTCACAAACCTCTCACAACTCAAAAACACCTCCTAATACACCCACAAAGCAGCAGCTACTTCCTGGATCCACTACATTTGAATTCCCCACAGGCTCAACTGGGAGTCAAAGGGTTTCACAGCAAGAATCTCCAATGGACTTTATGCTCTGTTCAGCCAGTTTATTCCCAAGAGAAGGAGACAAAAGGCCCACACCAATAATGAGGCTGCCCTAAAGCTGGCACACAGGCACAGAGCTTCCAGCTGGTGCCCACGGCCCGGCTCCATTCTCTAGTCCCCCGACACGGCCAAGCGCTGTCATTTTGTTACGGCATCATCAAAACCGGGACAGGAAATTCCCCAGAGGTGGCCAGTAGCCCACTGGAAGTTGTGAAGGCTGCGCTCACCGCAGCTACAGCTGCTCGGGAGATGCTGTATCTCAGATTTAATGGTAGTGTTTGGAACTTGTTTTGCCCCAGCGCAAATTCTTCCGCAAGTACACCCTTCCTCCTGCTTTGCACAGAATAGCACCCTTTGGAACGGCTGGGCCAGGAGCAGGGGGGTGTGAGAAGGCACAGGCGGGGCAGCTAAAGCTGCTGTCGCCGCTGAGGACGTGTCGCGCCCGTGGCGGAGCCGTGGCCCCCGTCCCGCCCGTGACCCGGCGCTGCCCGTGTGGCGCTGCCCGGCCCGGCCCGTACCCAGCCGGTAGCGCACCAGCCCGCGGTTGTAGTAGGGCACCTCGAAGGCGGGCTGGCACTC